AATAAAATGCCGATTTGCCAGTAGCCAGGCAGGAAGTATAGGCAGGGCGACCAGAACAGGAGAATTCTGGGAAGCGGAAAGGATCAGTCTGCAGTTATCACCAACACACAGAGTAAGCATTGAAAATACATTGCTGATAAAAGGTATCAGGGCAAGTAGCTAACACAGAAAAGAATTATGGGTTAATGTAAGATGTAACAGTTAGTTAATAAGAAATCTTGAGCTAATAGGCCAACCAGTTTATAAGTAATGTAGGCCTCTGTGTGTTTCTTTGGGACTGAATGACTGCAGGACAGGGTGGAAAAGAAACAAACCTCTGTCAACAGAAGTCTATTTTGTTAGATATTAGGATAATTACACTTGTTTGTTTCTTAGGTCCATTGGAAAATCTTTTTCCAACCCTTTACAGGTAATATCTGTCTTTGAGGTTGAGGTGTGTTTCATGTATATAGCTGAAGGATAGATTCGGCTTTCGTACCCATTTATTAGCCTGTGCCTTTTACTATATGTTAATTGAGTCCATTGATATTAAGAGATATTAATGACCAGTGATTGTTAATTCCTGTTAACTTTTGATGGTCGTGTTTGTGCATTTTCCTTCTTTGGGGTTTGCTGTTGTGAGATTATCTGTTACCAGTGGTTTTGTGGGTACAGTTAGCTTCCTTGGGTTGGAGTTTTCCTTGTAGTACTTTCTGTAGGGCTGGATCTGTGGATAGGTATTGTTTAAATCTGATTTTGTCATGGAGTATCTTGTTTTCTCCATTGATGGTGATTAAAAACTTTTTACCTGTCTTGAGAGGTAATCTTATGAGGGATTTTAAAGGAGTCATAATTATAAAGTGCTGGAGAGTCCAAGAAAACAACAAAATTGGGTACTTAGAACCTATATGAGTGTATTAGCTGCTTTGACCTTCTGCCCTGTATTCTCCCAGGAGGAGTAAGGCAATTTACACTGACTCATGACTAAGTAAGCATTTTGAACTAATATTCTGCAGTCAGGAATTGTAAATATTGGATTATCTCGGAATCAGAGAGTGCAGTGTTGTTTCTCTGCATTCTTTGAGTCAGTTATAAGTTTGTGGTTTGGGCTCAGATTACTATAAATCTGTCAATATTATGTCAATTGGCATTCAACAAGGCAATAGTGATGCTAAACCATTTTAAATTTTAAAATGTATTTTCTGTAATGTGTGTGGCTTTAAACCAAAAAAAAATATGGAAATTTATATCTCTTTCTCAGGACTATGAAGTCAGCTTATTTCCTGTATATATATACAGTTAGTTGGCTAAACTTTGAGTCTTCAGGATTCATGCCCATATCAGAAAACTGAGGTCAGGAACTTGTGAGGAGTGTTAATCACTGTCCTAGGTTACCAGTCAGACCTAGCAGAAGATACTACATGCAGCACTTAGGTTGCTCTGCACTTTTAACCTTAGTTCAACAAATCAGAAAACTGGCTATATGTCTTTGTAGACAAGATTGCCTTTCTGGAAATAGTTTATCTTAAAAACCATTAACAAGGCACCTGATCTGATCTAAAGCACTCTGAAGCTATTGCACAGCTGTTCTGGCAGTTGGGGAAAATTGAGTTATTTTTATAGGCATTGGATGTGTATCATTTTTACATGAATTTTTATTCATTAAAACTCTTATAAGCTAACATTACTGATATCAATTACACAATTCAGCTTAAGGAAGAGCATTCTTCAGAACAATCCAGAGATGTAAATGCCCAGTAAGTCAGAATTTATTCATGAGATAAACACTGTGGTGCAGGGAAATTTACAATAGCATATGTGAATTTACAGACAGAGGCAAAAGATATTCCAGATTCTGTAGCCTAGTGACTTGGCCTAATGAGTTTTCCCATCAGAGAATGTCCTTCTGGTAGGTTGGCAGCTTAAATATTAACCATAATCTGCTGCTCCTTTGACAATGGCACCAACACAACTGGACTGACTCAGAAACAGATACAAAATGGGTACACTAAATGCTATGATAAGGATGTAGATGAGGAACCACCCAGGAAAGGATCCAGATGCTGGAACAAAGGAACAGGTAGAAGCTGGTGAATCCTGGGACGGCATATTGAGTCCTGGTGCTCAGGCAGATAGAAACATACTCTGCCTTGTGAGGCTGTGCACATCAGACCATGCACACATGAATCACATCTACCAAATATCTCTCTCCCTCAGGTCCAGGTGGACTCCAATCACTAATGCCACTTGTCAGGTTCTCTTCTCCACACTTGAGTTCACAGGAAGTCTGGAGGTGCTCGACCTAAGTGGAAATCCACTGAGCTACTGTGCAGTGCAGAGTCTCTGTAGGACACTGAGATGCCCTGGATGCCAACTAAGGATACTGTGGTGAGTCTGGCCTGGGTTCTTCCCTGAAGTAGAGAGGGACGGCAGGAAAACAAAGGCAAAAGCTGGACCTACAGTGAGGCTCTCTTTTAGTTACATATTCACCCTCTTGCCCACACCTGTAACAGAGGCCTAAATGTTATGACAAAGAAATGGAAAACAGATTCTAGTCTTAGAGATCATGAAATACTGACATTCATCAGGGAACCCCACTAACTATTGCTAACAGCAGGCCCATGAGGGCTCCAGTGGAACAAACATCCTGAGGAAGTGGCTGCAGGAGAGCTGAAGAGCACAGAGGAGGAGGCTAAATAAAGCAGAGGGAAAGAAAACTCCAGGCCAGGGAATGGTATCCTCACTTCCTCCTGCTCTCTTCCTTGTAACCAGCCTTCTGCTCTGTTTCTATGGACTCCATCTTTACTAAGATTTCACATGACTAGTGAGATCATGCCCTATTCTATGGCTGGTTAATGTCATGTTAAATGACTCTTGAAATACACTGGTGAGCTGTCCTGGGTCTCATGGAGGTCTGTCATGGCCAGTCACAGCAGAGCAGTGGGGCTCAACCTGTGCTCCATGATTCTGCAGCTCAGCTATGGGAAGCATGGGATTTTCCGCCCAGATGAGAAAAGGCACTAGAAAAGCTAAGACCTGCTAGCACCACGTGCCTAGACTCACAAAGGGAGACCTGAGCTCAGTTCCCAAGAGCAGTGATCCCCGGAGAATCTGATGGTGAGCATCTCCCATGCAGGCTTGTCAACTGTGGCCTCACATCCAGCCACTGTGAGGACCTGGCCTCAGTGCTCAGTGCCAGTTCCAGCCTGACTGAGCTAGACCTGCAGCTGAATGACCTGGGAGACCATGGTGTGAGGCAGCTGTGTAAGGGCCTGAGGAATCCTGCCTGCAAACTCAGAATCCTGTGGTAAGTAAAACCCTGGATTTCTATTCTAGGCAGGGGCAAAAGAAGGGACATGAGGGAGTGAAGAATACGGGATACGGAAAAGAAGTGGGAGGGGGAATGCATAGTCAGAGTGGCTCCTGACCAGCTGTGCCGCTTATACCTGAGACTTGGGCAAGTCACCATATTCTGTAAAATTCAGTTTCCTCATCTGTCAGGTGAAATGTCACACCCACCTCATGGATTCTAATGACATAAAGTGTAGGTAGCTGGGCACTGTGCAGTCATATGTATTAGCAAGGCTATTACCTTACCAGACTCCCAAGTTTGCCTTACTCCAGGACAGTGATTCAATCATTTATTCATTCATGAATACATATGTGCTTGCATCCATATCAGGACCCTCTGTGCTAAGCACTTGTCCAGGACTAGGGATACTATCACAAACAATCCTGCTAAAGCTGTGGGGGAAGAAACAGATAAAGATCGCCCACCAGCCCATGACACCATTGCCAAATTCTGCTGAACGCTATGGAGTCAACAGTATTGTGAGAATGTACTGTTGTAAGAGGGCCTGCTTTATTGGATGGCCCATGAGTGCTTTCCCTAGGCCTGATAGAGAAATAAGCTTTGATTGGGCCAACCTGGAGACAGCAGTCTGGGCAAAGGAAAAGTTGGAGAAAGCTCTAGAACAGAAAGTAGTTGAAGCCCTGGAAGGTCATTGGGTTTCACTACAGGAGCCTGAGGTGGTTCTCTGTTCAGAATCTCTATGGGGATATGGCCATGACCTCGATCTACTGGGAATGCTGGTAGTTATTCTGTGACCCCTTGTCAATATGAATCCCCTCATCTATGTCCATGTTCCCATCCCTGGGAGAGTCTCTATTTCCAGTGACTGACCTGTGGGAAGGGAGATAAAGGGCCAGCCCTTGTTTCAGCTCTGGAAAGTTCCAAAGATCTTCATGCTGGCTTCAGATCTCCCTGCACACTGACCACGTTCCACTAGGACTGTGTCATGGACACATCTCTGTCTGCTAAACCTGCTGTTCTCCATTATTTGTCCTGGATTTGTCTCAAGAATAAACTTAATAAAGCCCCTCACTTCCCATCTATAGACAGCAGAGTCAAGGATCCGGGACCCTGATGTTTCATATTTTTGTTGTGGATCCCAGGAAATATAGCTTCTTCTTGTACTTGCAGGCTGGATCTGTCCCCTCTCAGTGACCCAGTGATTATGGAGCTCAGGGCCCTGCAGGCAGAGAATCCACAGCTTCTCATCTCCAGCACATGGTAAGGAGTGGATACAGAACTCCTACTGGTCAACTCAGCCTCTATGTGGCTGGTCCATGACTGAGGTAGGACAGATATCCTGAGGTGATGGGAAAGAGAAACAGAGTCAGGAAGAAACCAGGAACCACAGAAACCAATGTCAGGAAGGCTTCTGTGTGGTGGGGAGGTTTCATTTAGCTTTCATCAAAAATAGAATCATATAACACGCCTATATAAATTCTATGATCAGAAAAAAGGATGTGAAAGGTGAGTTAGTGGTGAGTCCTCTGGGCACAGGAAGTGTGACAATGGTAGGCACCAGTAAACCAAAATACTGGAACAAGGAAAACAGAAACTACACTTTCAAAAGATCCAGAAATTCTCAGGGAACAAAAGCCACCATGGGGATCACTGTCCCAATCCTAATACTCAGACTCACATACACACAGGACTATGTGAATGTCACACACACACATTGCACTATGGGATACAGAGCCTCAGGGCTGGAAAGTCATTTTCCACCCCCAGGGGCTGTGTTGAAGCCCCATGCTCTCCCAGTTTAGTCAATTTCAGTTCATGACCATGAATTCCATCTGTGCTCAAGTTCCTACTGCCATGCCATACATGACAGGGAGGGTCTCTACATAGGATAGCGATCCATTCATTGAACAAACATTTGTGCAAGACCCGCTGTGCATCATTCACTGTTTGGGGATCTGAGGAAGCAGGATAACAAGGCAGACAGGTTCAACATTCATTATCTCAGTCCAGCAATGAGGGGATACTTGATTCCCCATAGTTCAAAGAAATTGTGCTGGGAACCCTATGAGTAAAGAGGTGGTCTGTCTGACTTCATCCAAAGCTGAGATGAGCTAAGGTGAGCTCTGAAAGATGAGAGTTGTGGGGTTGATAGGAGAAGAAAATTCAGGAAGAAACATAGGATAGGGAAGCAGAGAGTGAGCAGTTCCAATGAGGGACAGAAACCATGTGTGGATACCATCAGCTCTGCCTCAACATCACCTGAGCCCTCCACAGAAATGCAGGTTCTCAGGCCAAACTCCATCCCTGCTGACTCAGAATCTCAGATGGAACAGCTTTCTTCCGTGAGCTTTCTGATTTAGCAGCCTGTCCAGGTGACACTTTAAAGCAGGGATTTGAAAGCCACTGGTCTAGATTTGAGCAGGAAAGGGTGACATAGGAAGGTCTGGAGGGGACAGGGGCCACAGCAAGAACTATGAACCACCCTCAGAACCTTCTGCTACTCCCCAGAGGAAATAAGAGTCGTTTCAGCACCTCGGTCATGATGGAGCATCCTCACCCTTTATTTATGGTCAGCTTCTATGTAGAAAATGAACTAGAAGGGACCAGACCAGAAGCAGGGACACCTGCCAGAGGATGCTGCAGAGGATAAGAACCATGTTCACCCCATCCAGGGACAAGGATGGAGTCTGTGGAGGGGGAAGTTGTGAACAGAGTAGAGAGATTTAGAAGATACTATCTAGGTGCTTAGCATCCAAGGTGAGTGATTGTTTGTTTGTTTTATGCAGTTGTAACACAATGTCTGACACAGGGTGCTTAACATGAAGAATTGAGATTATTTCTTCCAGTTCTGGATACAAGGAAGAGCCAGGGCATGGACCCTGCATCTAAAGAATCCTTCCTGTTCCCTCTGATTGTGCAGCTGGGAGGGCTGAGAGTGAGAGACCAAGGTGGCTTTTGGACAAGTCCTGTCAGGGCACAGGAGTCTACTCCTGTGATGATGTCATTAACCCCTTCATGAGAGCAGAGCACTCGTGACCTCATTGTGTCTTATCCTTCATCTTGTCACACTGTGACACTGGGGATTAACTTTCTAATGAATAAACACTGGGGAACACACTCAAAGCAAAGGAGTGGTTGAGATGATCCCTGTTCTAGCACCATGGATGCCTGGGAGGATGGAGACTTTATAGAGTTCTGACCCAGAGAAAAATCATGGAACTGAGTTCAAATTCAGATGAGTTGGATTTTATGTTGGGATATTGTGTACACAGCCCTGGTTTCCATGGTTTCTCCTGACATCTGAGGGAAAGAACATATCTATATGTAGGAAACCATGTGTGATGATCCCTACTAAGAACCCGGAAGGAAAAGGAATGGGTAACAGAGTGACCTCATTCAAGCAACAGAGACCACAATCAGGTAAGTGAAGGGCTCAGACCCAGAGCATCATGATTACCAAATGGAGGAGCATCTGTGCGGAGGATGTCATCATTCCTTTCTTTATTTTTTTAGAATTTAATACACAAGTACTATATTTACATCATTTCCAGCCCTCATTCTGTCTGCTTCAACAATTCCTATTCCCCACCAACAAAGTCTGTCTCAAATTCATGAGCTGTTCTTAAGTATTATTGTTAATTACACGTATATTTACACATATATGCATATGTATATATAAGTACAACTTGATGAATCCATTTAGTGTTGGTCATTTGTATGTTTTACGTTGACCACTTGAAACTAGATAGCCTTTTAGGAAACTATTCCTCAAGAAGACTGATTTTATCCCTCTCCTACCAGCTATTAATGGCTTGTAGGTTTTCTTTTATTAAACTAACTTTTCTCATTTTACGTGCCAAAATTCATTTCCCACTCCCTCCCCTCCTCTTTCTCCCTGCATCTTCTCCCTCCTTCTCCCCATTCCACCCTCCATCCACTCCTCAGAGAGGATAAGCCTTCCCATAAGAAGTCAAAAAAATCTAGCACATTGCTTTGAGGCAGGACCAAGGCCCTTCCCACTATATCTAGGCTGAGCAAGGTATCCCTCCAGGGAGAATGGGTTCCAAAGAGTCAGAACACTCAGTAGAAATAAATCCTAGTCTCACTGCCAGTGGCCCCACAGTCTGCCCCAGCCATACAACTGTTACCCACATTCAGAGGGTCTATGCTGTATCCCATGCTGTAAGGCCTTAGTTGGAAGGCTTATTATTAGCTCAGGTAAGTTACGTAAGAGGGTATCCTCAGCAGGGTCTTGTTCTCTTTGCTCATATTCTCAATTCTCCTTCTTTTCGGCTGGATTTTGGGAGCTCAGCCCAATGCTCTGATGGGATTTATTGCATCTGCTTCCATATGTTGCTGGATGTAGGTTCTATGATGACATTTAAGATAGTCATCAGTCTGACTACAGGGCAAGGCCAGTTCAGGCACCCTCTCCACAATTGGTTGGGGACTTAGCTGGGGTCATCCTTATAAATTCTTGGGACTTTCTCTGGTGCAAGGACTGTTCATAGCAGAATTATTCATAATAGTCAGAACCTGGAATTAACCTTCAACTTAAGAATTGATAAAGAAAATGTGGTATATTTAAACAGTGGAGAACTACTCAGAGGTTAAAAAAAAATGACCTCTTGAAATTTGCATGCAAGTGGATGGAACTAGAAAAACTGCCCTGAGTGAGGTAACCCAGACCCAGAAAGATGACCATGGTGTGTAACCACTCATAGGTATTTCCTAGCTGTAAAGCAAAGAATATGAACCTATAGTTTAAGACCTCAGAGAAGCTAAGTAACTAGAAGAACCCTAAGAGAAACATACGTAAGTTCCCCCTGGGAAGGGGAAATAGACAAGATCTCCTGACAAAATTGGGAGCATGGGGTGTGGGGGAAAGGGAAAGTAGAAGGGGAGTTGGAGGGGAGCAGGAAGGAGAGCTAGGAAAAATGGGATGATCAAGATGGGGGAGGGACAGAGACAGAGAACAAGGAAAGAGACATCTTGATTGAGGGAGCCATTATGGGGCTAGCAAGAATGCTTATAGATTTTCATTTAGGAGTGGGGCATTATGAGATCTCCCCCATCCACATTAGCCTGTCAGCTAGTTCTGTCACTGTGAAGATCTTGTTGAGGCAAAGATACTGCTGAGATTTCATTGGTGGATTGTCCCAGTCAAATACAAAAAACAAAAAAAACAAAAACAAATTATCTGCAACAGATGCTGTGGAGGTAGTCATCGTTTGTATTCCTGTCTTTGGCATGGAACCGTACAGGCTCTCCAATAAGAGCACCACCCCTTGCAAGACATTCCACACTTAGAAACCAGAGGGAATACTGTTTGCTTCTTTCCCAGACTTTGTGGGCTGCTGATGCCCCATTTGCAAGTCTGTGACTTGCATTTGGCTCTGTACTATAGCTCTGTGTCTCATTCCTACCTGCTATGGCCTGGGACTCATCTCCCTATCCCTGCTCACCATATTATGAGCTATCTTCTTTTATTTTTTATCATACCACGTGAGACATACTAGAAAAATCGACACTTATGGACCAGTAAGAAAGAAACAATGCAGCTGGCATGGAGGCAGGTATTATGGTGGGATAGTTGCTTAAGAAGCACAGCAGAAAGACATACACACACACACACATAGTTTATTATAAATAATATATATTAATGTATTCAATTATATGTAAATGAAAAGGATGCAGGTAGCCTGATGAGCAGTGATAAAATCTTCAGGCATGCCTCCTGCTAATACCTAGGCGAGAGAACCTGGAAAAGAGTTAGTCATGGTCCAGCACTGGGAAAAGCTGGGGAGATGAGACTGAACAACACAGACTGACCTCTGTCTGGCCTTTTCTAGAGGAATGGTGTTCATCATTTACACCATTAATGACCTTTTACCCATCTTCCCCTGTCCCTCCAGATCACAAACACATGGAACCACAGGCTACTGAAGATGACTTCTGGGGCCCTACAGGACCTGTGGCTACAGAAGTGATTGACAGAGAAAAGAATCTATACAGGTGAGTGAGCTCCGCCTAGAAAATGTGACTTTCCCAATACACTTTCCACACTTTAAAAACTATTTACATTCCTCCTTTGTCATCACTGTCACAGAAGAGTGAGTCCAGGACATGAGATTTTACCACATACATTTCCCTATCTCTATGACTCTATTTTAATTCAGACAGGACCTTGTCTTCCATAACCAGCACACCATTACCACATCAACAGAGCTGTCCTGAATCCTTCATTCCATCTAAACAGTCTGTTCTCAACTTAGCTCATTATCTGAAATGTGTAGTGGTTGTTTTATTCATGGTGTAAGCAGTATCCCTGCCATCATTATATTTGGTTTCTTCAGTTTCTTAGATTTCCCTCCAACTCCTGCTTACTAACAACCACTGTGTGCCTAGAACCTAAGAACATAAGAATGCGTACTGCAGCCCTGACCTCTGAGAATTATAGTCTCATGAGTGATGAGTGACTATACCCACAGTCACGGTATCAGACATAACCTGGATCCTCCTCCAACAATGACACAGTCACTGTCTCAACTGGAGAAACTGTCACTTAAACTTCCTCCCACAGAAACTGACACCTGTACACCCACCAGTCACCAGGCAGGAAGAAAATCTGTGAAGATCTTGGTAAAGCATTGTTTCAGGGCCAAGGATTTACCACTAATAATTGCAGATAGACTCTTATTTTCGGGAAATATATCCTCAAGGAATATAAACACTAAAATCTGAAGGAAGGTGTACCTTAGTGGTAGAGCCCTTGCCTAGTGTGCACGAGGTCCTACATTGAGCCCCAGAACTACACACACACACACACACACACACACACACACACCACTTTCATCACCATCATCATCATCATCATCATCATCATCATCACCATCACCACCATCATCATCACCACAGGAATAGCTAACTGCTCCAGGTGTGTGTCACCTGTAGGTTTACTCTAGAACACTCAGTACTCTCAGGTCTAGAAGATGGTGTTGTAATTACCCTGTTTACAGATGAAGTAACAGATTTGGGGGTTAAATGACTTATTTAGTCAGGGATCCACCTACAGACCACAGAGGAAACAGAACTCAGAGTCATCTGGCTTAAGTCTGTTGTGTCCCCAACCCTTCACCTGGTCTGCATCCTGCAGGTGAACAGAGCTGGTGTTCACTGGTGTCTGCCTTTCCCTCTTCTAGAGTTCAGTTCCCTGGAGCTGGTTACTACCACTGTCCCAACATAGGACTCTGCTTTGTGGTAACAAGGGAAGCAACTATCGAGATTGGATTCTGTGCCTGGAGCCAACACCTGGACAAGACTCCGTTGCAGGAAAGTCACATGGTGGCGGGGCCTCTCTTTGACATCAAGGCTGAGCAGGGAGCTGTTGCTGCTGTGTTCCTCCCTCACTTTGTGGATCTCCGAGGTAACCAAGGGAAGGATAGGGAGTAGGGTGGAGGCCAGGAGGTGATGGTGCATGACTTTGATCCAAGCATTCAGTATGTAGAAACAGACAGATCTCTATTAGGTCGAGGCCAGTTTGGTCTGCAAAGTGAGTTCCAGGACAGCCAGGGCTACAGAAAAAAAACCCTGTCTCAAAAAAAAAAAAGAGTAAGGTGATGGAAATGGAGGACTTGAGAGGTCATATAGTACAGCGTAGGGTGTTGGGTGATGAGGAAAGGTCTATGACTTCCTTAGCAGGGCAGAGCCGGTTGTGAACAAAGACACTGAGATGTTTTGTCATCCCTTTGTCTATGATGTATTTTCTTTGAAGCACATGTCTCCAAGCCTTATACTTTATTTTATATTAACTAAAGGAGACCCTGAGTGGAAAGTGATATTCTCAGTAGCTATATTAACTGGTGATTAATAAGCACTCCTTACACAGCATATCTCACAAGAGTCCAGCGGGAAACAGAATAAATTGAACAATGTGAAGACATTGTTGGAAAGAAAAATAACAAGGATCATTTGGTACCCAAGGTTTACCAACACACCACTACATTGCTACAGGCGGGGAGAAAATGAGGTCTTCAGATTTCATTTGAGAACTGGAGCCACAGAATAATGGTGTCCTAAGGAAAGAGGGGAACTCATGAATTGTCCCAACCTCAGTCATCACCAAAAATTCCTTCAGAAGATAAATATAAGATTTCCTGTGAAATATCTCATGAAGAAAACCATTACTACAGCTCTCTGGAGGCTGAGACAAGAGAATTTGGAATGCAAGAGGAAATTAGACTATACAGCCAGACTCTGCTAAGTAAGGAAAACACAACAACATCAAGGAACCTGGTGTTGTACGAGTGGCTACTGGGGTCAGTTACTTCTTTGGCTACAAGGAGCACAGGAATAAGTCCACCATGGACACCAGGAGAATCCAGCTTACAGCAGAAGTTCCTTGTTATAAAGGTGATGAGCAGCCACTAGGGGGAAACCCAACAACTAAGGAAGAATTGAAAAGTAAAATAGAAACACAGGCTGCTCCAGTCAATTGGAGAACAATGAATAGAAAACAAGTTAAGCATACCTGGGTTAAAGATATTCATAGTTAACAGCAAGCCCACAAGAAGAAAAAAGAAGATGAAGAAATCAAGCAGGAATAAGTTGAAAACCTCAAAAACAAATAAAATTAATAGTGACATGCATACAAGAAGATCCTGAGCTCCTGAACCTGACAGGGAGCACTGCTGCATGGATGGGGCCTCCCTAATGTTTCCCTGACCAGTCTAGCACACTGAGCTCTTCGTCCCCCTCACCCAGTACTTGCCACACTCTCCACTCAAGCTTCTTCCCCACAGGTCACCATCTTCACTGTTTTTGACTGCCACTCTCAGATCAAAAAATGTCCCCACTGAATACTGTAAGGAAAGGATTCTGTTACAGTGTATGGAAGCCACATACACGTAGGAAGGACAGTCCCAGGGCCAGGTGGTAGCACATACCATTAATATCAGAATTTCCAAGGCTAAAGCAGGAGAAATATGTCATATCCACAAATAGTCAGTAAGTTCCTGTATATAAAACCCAAAATGAGAAAAGAAATGAAAGTAATTGGTAAGTCAGCTTCTTGGTTTAAAAAAAAATCTGGTATTAGCAATAAAAATTCCAGCATCCCATGTTACCCTCAAGACATGGCAAAGTCCTGATTAGCATTTACTCTATGAAAAATCCTAAGTTATTAAAACATTTTAAATGCCAAATTATGAAGATCTCGGAAAGATTTGAAGAATATCTGTTTAACTGAAATATATCTATATATATCTAGAAACCCTAATTAGCATGACTACAAGCTTGACTATTATAGATGACTCTCTATTAACCTATTTTTTAATTATACATTGCATTTTTAAATGAGCTGCACAAACACAATACCTTAATCAAGAGCAGAAATACATATACATGGTATAACAAAATCGACCTTAAAGTTGTATCAATAAACCAAGATCCATACCAATGCAAAGTATTCATCTCTATATCATATCTCCTTTTAAATGTAAACAAGCATTTATAAACAATATTTGGGAATATGGACATAGTTTACAACAACCCTAAGAAGGGAAGGTGGAGAGGTACAGCATCTCCCCAAATTTTGTCAAAATGGCAAAGCACAAAGCGTGAGTAAGTGCCAGCTTCTGGTACTGGGACTGAATATGACTTGGGGACAGCCAGGGTTTCAAGGCCCCACACGGGTACACAGGAGACATTGTAGTGCTGGTGGCTCTATCTGATACTGTTACCTAGCATCACTGATTGAAATTCCAAGCTACACCACTTCCTAGAGCACCAAGGTCATTGTCTCATTCATTGCTACTTATTGATTCCAAGCAATCACCCAAGAGAAATAGAAATGTTCTCTGCTAAACAATAAACATTGCAATTCTGTTTGTCATGGTGCGAGTTGAAGCAAACTCAGTGCTGAAAGGACAGGCAAATGGTGGATGGCAGAGTGGTGCCTAAATTAGCAGGGGTCACATCAGGGTGACAAATGACATTCAACATCGTGATTCTGCCCAGTGTCAACTTGGCACACAGGCACATCACTTTAAGTCATAACTTTCTGCCTCAGTCCTCTGAAAATCTGGTTTTCTCTCATAATGCGAAGTACACTCCAATTACAAGGGTCCATGGGTTAAAAAAAAATAAATCCATAAAGACCACCTCTTATCTGAAATTCAAGGCAGTGACTTCACTATGAGCTCCAATAAAATAGAAAAGAATTTGCATACTCTCAACATACTATGACACAGAATAGACATTTCCATGCCAAAATAGAAGAAACAGGGCACACCAAGGAATTATCAATCCACAGCAACATAAACTCCATCAGCATAAACACCAAATCCTGCAGCTTCATATCCAGCTGTGGAGCTCATGATGTCATTCACTGGTCTCCAAAGGACAAAGGTAGCTCCACCCCTCCAGTTCTATCACATGAAGCACACGTAGCCTCTCCTTAGACTATCTCTCTACTCCTTGCCTAAAACTTTCTTGAGCAGAAATAATATGTGGTTCTGGCTTCTACAACATCCACGGATTTCCATTCCACCTTAGGCTTCATTTTCAAAGGTCCATAGAATGAGCTCACAGGATCCTTGGAGGTTCTTTGACTTGGGAATATTGTCTGGCCTCACTGCTATCTGAAACTGTGCAGCAATGAAGAAGGATGCTTAAAAGAAATCCCACACTAGCTCAGAATTGAGAATAATTGATGGTTATTTAATTAGGGGTAGACTCACAAATCAGAATCCTCTGCTGGAAGGGAGAACAGGAACCAAATCCTGCAGCCAGAAAATAGGCCAGATGCCTATTTTACATCGGCATAAATAGTATAAGATGCCATGCCCAAGTGTGTGGGTAGCATAAAGGGTCTTGGCTGTAGGATTTCCTGTAGCACAGCATGTCTCAGTGACCAATCACTCTAGCATCTTTCATGCCTAAAAACTATAGGGAAGACACTGCCAAGTGCTGCTGGCAGCTTGAGGTGTGGTTACCCTGACCCATAGCTGAATAATGGGCTGACCATGGGGAAACACTTCCTTGGGTATTTGCATTTGTGGAACAGGGAACACAACCACTTAATGCTTTCTGCTTTGAAATGAATTTTGATCTTCACAAAATGAGCCCATGAAGAGTGAGATTTTGGCCTCAGGACATCTTTCCTATTGTCACTATGCTTTCCGTGCAGTGACACTGATCTCTAATATTTACAACTGATTTTTCTTTTTGAAAAAAAGGTGAATGCTTTCTGTCTCAGAATTTTTCCTGCCAAATTAGTCTTTTACATTTAAATTCAACTTCACTCATATACAGGGCATTTATGCACTGAAACTAGATTCTTGGACAAAGTGTCTCATGAATGGCACCTTTTACAGTTCTCAAGAGAAACCTTCCACCTCTCTGAAAGTGTTATGGACTGGCCTCCACCCCCTCTCTCAGCATTCTTGTCTTCCCTGCTTCCAAAAGAATGTACCCATAAGCTCTGCTTTCAGCATAGAAGGGCTTTCCTAAGGACCAAACTCTTCCACATTCCAGCCCAAAACACTTCCAAAAGCCTAGGATCCATGTAACCAGTGCACATTATAGCATTAACCCAACTCCTGGTATCAATTTTCTATCCAAGTTTACAAGTTATCAAACTCTTGTAGCTCAAAAAAAATATCTAACTAAAGAAATTTAGAGGAAAGATTTATTTGGCACACACTTTAGAGAACAGTTCATCAAGGCATGGAGATCTGAGAACAATGACCTTGCAATGCCTGATAAATTGTGTCAACAGAGGGAAGAGAACCCACTAAATGCTTATACTCATATGACCATCTCCATTTTACACAACCCTGGATCCTAGTCCATAGATCCCACAGTGGTTAGGTCCTCCCAAATCTTTAACCCAATCAAAATAATTTCTTTCTATCATGCCCTGAAGCCTGTATCCAAGGTGATTCTAGATTTCATCAAGCTCACATTTGACAATATGTTTCCATGGATGCATCCAACATGTCTTCAGTGAACAAAGATAGGTATCCCTGGTCTCTTTCATAACAGCAAACTCCATCCTACAACAAGCACATTAGTGGACACTACACTCCAAAGACACTGAGGTTGGTGATGGCAGCACCTCAGAGACCTAATGGATGGGCAGTCTCTAACAATGGCCTCTGAGGCTGTATTCATTGTAGGATCCATAGATGAGACCATCAAAAATTTCCATTGTACTGTGAATGCTCCTCCAGCAGCAAGACAGGTCAAAGCCAAGGCTGCTCCAATGAGTGGTAATCTGCACGAGTCACTATGGTAGCACATCACAGTCACCTCACAGCATGGTGAACCAATAGTATGGAAATGTTTTATTAATCTGCTATGTTCTCAGTGGGAATTAATTAATAAAACTTAAGATTTTCTTGTTCATGGCTTTTCAATTAAACAAAAAATAACCAAAAGCTGAAAATACATCATGACCAAAGCAGCTTATAGAAGAAAGATTTGGGAATGGTTAGAGTTTCGGAGTTAAGAGTCCATGACCATCATGGCAGACAGCATGGCAGCAGCAGGCAGGCATAGCACTGGAGCAGAGCTGAAAGCTCATGTCCTTAGTGACAAGGAAGAGAGAGAGAAATAAAACTGGAAACAATAAAAACTTCTTTTGAAGAGGAGGAGGAGTAGGAGGAGGAGGAGGAGAAAAGACAAGACCTCAAATCCTATTCTAGTGTCACATCTCCCACTCCTTCTCAAGCAGTTCCACCAAATACAGTCACCAGTTCTCATTCTAAGCACAACCACCATTCCAAATCTTGAGGCTCTTTTTCCAGCCAAGCACAGTTCAGTAGAAACACTAAATCCCTCTCATTGAATCTGTTCTTTCACAGAGGGACAGGTGGATACCTCCTGGTTTCGTGTGGCCCACTTTCAAGAACACGGGGTGGTCCTAGAAGTGCCAGCCAGGGTGGAGCAGTGCTACACAGTCTTGGAAAACCCAAGTTTCTCTCCAATTGGAGTTCTACTGAGAATTATGTCTGCTGTCGGACATTTAATCCCCATCACTTCTGTCACATTGATTTACTATTACCTCAATCTCCAGGATGTCACCCTTCATCTCTACCTGATCCCCAATGCCGAGGCCATTCAGAAGGTAACACTGAGTGCCAGAAATGTGGGGCTAGGGTGGATTGACAGGATACTTGAAAATATAGCTATCCCTTTGGAGAAATTCTCCANATACTTGAAAATATAGCTATCCCTTTGGAGAAATTCTCCACTTGGAGTGGGAAATAGTTCTATAAGGAGAGTCCTGGTAATTATGAATCTGCAGTCTTCTTGGCCCCCTTACAACAGAGGTTTTTCAACTGCCGTTAACACCCCTTTATCTCTATCCATCCTTCTATGGCCTCTTTCTACCCATCAGAATGGAAATTCTCCATATCCAACATGTAGCCAACTCCCTTCTTCTCTGTCAGGGACACAGTTCCCACAATGACCCTGACAGAGGCCAGTAATTAGTAATCTATATGGCAGAATACAAGTCAAAAGGTTTCCCTGGAGGTGACATCACCCCATCACACAAAAATGCACTGATCGACCAACACACCTTATTCAGACCAGTTAACTGTGGCAGTACTGAAATCTATTTAAATCTCTGTCTGCAATATTCCCCAGGCCATTGATGAACAAGAAATGAGGTTTCAGTTTGTTCGAATACACAAGCCACCCCCAGTAGACTCTCTTTACATTGGATCACGGTACATAGTGTCTGCTTCCAAGAACCTGGAAATCATTCCAAAGGTAAACATCCAGGGGTTTGCTATTCTACAGGATCAGATGCCAGATATGGGGCAGGTTACAAGGATTTACAGCAAACTGAGATTGGAGAGCAATGATTTGGGCTTTGGGATGAGCAAGAAAACTTCCAAATTAAGTGTAAAGCAATTTAAGTGATCACACAGAAGGTCTGGTAAACTGAGGAGTTGGTTTTAATATGGCACAGAGAAGGGCACAGCCTACAGTGCAGCAAGTCCTGGGTCAAGGACTTCAGGATGAGCTCTCACTCATCGTGGATTGAACTGAAAGGTCTCCTACAGGTGTAAATGTTAAACACTTGATCCCCAGTTACTGCTAGTGTTTGGGGAGTTGTGAAACAAATGTGTGAGGCCTGACCATCACAAGCAGGCCACTAGTGGAAGGCCTTGATGGTTATAGCATCAACCTGCTCCTCACCTCAGACTTGGATTCCTGATCCTGGTATAACAAGCTATGCCACAAGCTCCTGCCATAAAGAACAGAGCCACAGTTTACATGTGTTCCCCATCATGAAACTAAACAACATAAGCCCTCCTTAAGTTGTTTCCTGCCATGTTTTTGTCAGAGTGATGAGAAAAGGAATAATGTGTGGGCTAAGCTGGGCCCATTAGCATACTCTATATCTTCTGTAGCTACATTCTTTCTATGTCCCCTTCCACAATGTTCCAGCCTTCTGTGTAAAGATGTGCATTCAAAAGCTATGGGTTAACTCATTGCAAAAGACACACAGTATCTAAGCCAGGGTCTACTATGGTGTGCAAAAATAAGAAAGCACAGGGGTGTGGAAAACGCTTGTTCTCTTGAGTAGAGGCTTCTGAAACAGAATCTCTCCTCGCCCCCTTCAGGAACTGGAGCTGTGCTACCGAAGCCCCAGGGAATCCCAGCTCTTCTCTGAGATCTATGTTGGCCACATGGATTCAGAGATTAAACTGAAAATCACAGACAAGAAGACTGGAAATCTCAAATGGGAAGCCTTGCTGAATCCAGGTAAAATTAGTTTAGATCCAGATACTCAAAAGGTTGAAAAAGGCAATGAATTGGGAAGGTGTGTTGTCATTAATTCTTGGTGTCATGAAATAGTCAGATCAGTTATGTGGCTTTTGCTAGAACCAAAACAGGTGATTAGAGTTAGAGTGAGTGCAATGGGGGTGGGGGAAGCAGGAAAAGGTGAAGAGAAGAGGAGAACAGAAGAGGAGCAGGGACAGAGGAGAAGAGAGGGAGAGAAGCCAAAAGGAGGAGGTGGGAAGCCTATTCCAGGATGGGCCTCCAGTGTCCCAGTTCTTCCAACTGTGCAATCATAGTTTCCAGTACCATTCTCAGTGTCCATGCAATTATGAGTGCACTAGTGTGTGTGTTCATTCATCACACCACAGTCCTCATGACAATTACTGCTGCAGAACCAATCTTTCAACGTATGATCACAGAACATGTTACATCCAAACCATTGCATACCCTGAGCCCTATTTTCTCAGTCCTATATCGTGATTTCTACTTCCAGTGCCCTAGAAATGACAGATTTTGAGATGCACAAAGCATCTAGTAACAATTCACATTTAAATGTGAACAGTGAAAATGAAGGGATTTTCCATCATGAGATTCTTAATCTTAAAATCCCTTTGTTTTTTGACAATTTTATACATGCATACAATGCATTCTAAGAATTCCATCCAAAACAAACCTTATCTCCCTCCTGCTCCTGCAAGCCCCTCTTCTTTTCTACAGATCTCCTCCCCACATTCATTATCGCTTGTGTCTCACAGAGTTTAAGTAGGATCATCTGTGTGCCTGTGGGTTTTGAACTACCCAGTAGAGAAGCAAGTGGGTTCATCAGTGGGTACAGATGGATTGTATAGATCCTGTTCTCCAATAATCTACTATTTGTCTATAGTAAAGCCCTAAGTAGTACTGTCCCTGTGAGCTTCTTCCCCATGTCTAGGGCCCTCTTGTGTGGGTCCAGAGGCAGTAGGTGCAGGTGCTATGAGTTCATGATGGCCATGGTCATGTCATGCTTAGATGAGAGCACCTTTTATCCATATTTTCTTCATATCTTCACAGTCCTTCCCCATATTTTCTGTGCCTGCATTATTTCCAATTTCTCTTCCACAGTGTTCCTAGATCCTCGAGGAGCGATATAATTATCTACTTATAGGGATGAGTACTCTACCATCCCTTATTCTCAGTATCCTGCACAGCTGAAGGTATCTGCAGTCACCTCCATTCACAGCAAAGAGAGGCTTTTCTGGTGAAGACTGAAAGTAGCCTTTGTCTGAGGTGTAAACATTGACATTTACAAGGGAATTGACACTATGTACCTTTATGTAGGCAGTAATAGTTTTTCTAAGGGCCTAAGACCTTCAAAGACCTGAGTTTGTTTGTTTTAATTTAAAATGCTTAGAGTTGGATTCTATCCTGTGTTGTGGGCCTGAAGTGTAATCAGGAAGCCACTGGGTGCTCACATCACAGATGTGCCATGACTGCTGCAAGGGATCAGCTGTCCTGGCAGCATGGTTGCTGATGTCTTTTCTTCCTCAGCAGCCAGCACAACATCATCGTACACTAAAAACTTAGCATCAAAAGGAATCTTCCAACTCAGGTCCAGCTTGGAGTCTCTATACCATGTAGCCAAAATGTGTGCTGTCTTCAGCAGTATGGTCTTATCCACTAGTTCTGATGGAACAGAGAAGAATGAATGTCCCTGTATTGTCTTGGGAACCCCCATGGCCTCCCTGCCCAACAGCTCCTATGGAGATATCCCACTCCTGGAACTGACTTTTGTTTGTGAAACTCACTGCTTCTAGGATCTCCCATTTGAATCTTCATAGGGTATCTTGTATTCTAACTCTTCTATGAATTTTGTATTGGGTTACAAATAATAGGTTTCATTGTGACTTTTAAATACTGTCTTTAATATTTAAAACCCACCCCCTTATCTCCTCCATCCACAATCCTCCTGCTGTTTGAACATTTTGATCCACAGTATTCTCTGTCTGCCCTCATTTTATCAATGTGCTACTAATTGCATTTCCTAGCTCTTGTGAACAGAACTTCAATGAGCATGGCTATGCAAATGTCTCCATAGTAGAATATATATTCATTTGAATATATTACCAGGAGTGATGTGGCTGGTTATGTGGTAGTTCTACTTCTAGATCTTAAGAAGTCTCCAGAGTGATTACCACAGTGGCTGCACTAGTTTACAATTCCACAGGCAGTGTATTATAAGCAGAGACTGCTGTTTTCTTTCTGAGCCATCCAGACCCGAATACTTACACAAAAACTGTATTAATTACAACACTGTTTGGCAGGCAGCACCAGCATATTCCTAGCTAGTTGTTGCATCTTAACTCGTTTCTATTATTTTATATTTTAGCACAAGGCTTGTGGTCTTTTTACCTCACACCTTGCTCTTTGGGAGGCTCAAAACTGCTTCTTTATTAGCCAATGTTAAATAAAAACATTCACAGCATAAAGATGGGACTCCCACACCATCTCTCCTTTTCTGTCTAAATAAAAAGGAAGGTTTTAACTTTAACATAATAAAATTACATTTAACAAAATAGGTATCAAGCAAGAATTGCAATTACAATATTTAGTCTTTTTGTACCTGGCAACATAAAGAAAATATTCTATCTATTTTATCTTTGTGAGCCTAAAGCTTCATATCTAATTTATGTTTTATCATAAGAAAGAAAAACTAAAACTATTACTAAAACTAAAACTCTAACAAAGAATCCAGAAGGATATAATATTACCTAAGCAAACAGGAAGTTCATTGTAAGCAACTTTCAAAACTCCAGAATTGACAGAAACATCTCGTTGCCTGGACAGTCACCCAAAGTTCTTCTATGATGTTGGGGAATTAATCTTCAGCCTACATGCCCATAGTATCTGGCAAACTTTTCCATGAAGCAGGAAATTTGAGAGACTGTTTTGCCTATATTGGCAGTTTGGCAGTCACTTTCTTCTGTGTCCTGCAGAATGTCTAGCAGACTCCTTCATGAAGCAGCAACCCTGAAGGACTGGCTCATCTTCTTTTGACAAGTTCAGCAGTCATTTTTCTGTGGGTCCTGCATGTCCAGTTTATTCAGCATGCCATCAGGCAGTCCAGAAAAGAGCAGTTTTTTGCCCAAATGACTAGCCTTTTCATATTCAAGGCAAATTCCATAATGAATTTTTTCAATACGCGTAAATTTCCTTGAAGTTTTCACTGTAGGGAAAGTCTAGGTTCTTAAATTCTTCTAAATGTCACATTCTGTAGGTTTTTGAAGTGTTGAAGATTATCTCTCTCACTTAAATATATCTTCTGTATACCTAGAAAATCTAACTAACATGACTATAAGTATGATTATTATAAATGAATATCTAGTAATCTGTAATTTTTAATTATATATTACGTTTTAAATGAGCTGTATAAACATTTAAAAAAGGACATAAATATACATACAATGAAATTTACCTTAAATTTGTATCAATTCACCAAAGTCCATACCAATGAAACGTATTTATTTCTCTAACATATCCCCCCACATTTTTTTAGAAAGAGATTGACTGTGACCATTAACTACTTATAATCAACCCCCCTTTTACTAAAAACAATAATTTTGAAAATTTGGGCATTATTTTCTCTAAATTGCTTCCTGCTGTTCATTGGATGAAGTATTTTTAAGGTTCATGAAGACCTTTCTGGGACTCTTGTTCCATCAAACTACATTAGCCTGGAAGTAATCCACAGGTTCCCATCTTCTGTGGAAACAAAAGCAGAACCTCTGTTTTAAAGTAACATATCCTTAGACTCAAGTTTTGAAGTCAAGATAACTTTAAAAGATACATGTTGGTTTAGCTTAGCAGTCCCAGAATCAAATGTTTTTCAGCAGTTAACTCAAAGCAACAATAAAAACCCTCAATCATGCACATAATCCACTCTGTGTATTTTCCATCTTTATATGGCTTATTTTTCTCTTACTTTTTAATATTTATTGTATTATCTTTACTCATTTAATCTATGACTGAACTCTTTCTTCTCTCTCTTCTAAGACCATCTACATTTATCCAACACTGTGACACATTCAGAGGTCTTTTTTGTCTGAACCTATCTTATTGTGTATCTGTAATCATTTTCTGATCAGGAGAATTTATTTAAATGCTAAGCTGGCATGGCTAGGACTAACCATGTGGCTTTGCCTGTTGACTCCTCCCTGTCAAACTTCGAGGAGTTATGTTCATAGCCTCTGAGATTCATTCTGTCTGTCTTAGCTCCAGGGACACAGCAAGTCTATGTCAACATTAAGCACCTTGTAACACTCTGCTCACAAACTCCATTTAAGTGCTCTGTAGCAGGACCTTCCAAAAGAGACAGAGCCATTCATGCCACCAACATGAACCAGGAAGTCATCTCTTGAAGAAGCTGTGATTCTGCTTTCTGCCAGAAAACAAAGCCTATCTGAAAAAAATGTGGCTACCAAAAAACTCCAATTGACTCCCATTTTGTGGAACTAGAAGCCCTTTAAGCTTTCTGAGGCTTTATGTGGATGTACGTGGATGAACATTGGGAGCCATTATGTAAACAGAGACTTAAGTTTCATTTCCCAGCCACCCAGATCTGAATAATCACACAAAACTATATAAATTACAGCACTGTCTGGCCAACACTCAGGTATATTCATAGCTAGCTCTTACATCTTATATTAACTGATTTCTATTATTTTGTATTTTACCACAAGGCTCTTGATTTGTTACCTCACATCTTGCTTCTTGGCTCACTACATGGCATCTGCTTGACTCTGCCTTCTTTCCTCCTGCATTCAATTTAGTTTTCCAACCTAGTGTCATTCTACCCTGCCAAAAACCAAAACAGCTTCTTTATTAACCAATGGTAATAAAGCATACAGAGGGGAATCCCACATCATTTTATGAATGTTCCTCTGTCCCAAGTGAACTCCAGCGTTTGTTAACATTTGTATCCTTGATACTGGACTTTCTCAGGGATGAGAGGGAATCATAACAAATTGTAACCTGTATTTCCCTACTTTCAAAGTTTTTTCTAGACATGTGTGTTTCCTCCTTTGACAGTTCTGCTGTTATTCCTATGGCAATCCTCTGCATTGTGCCATTTCCTTGTTATTTAGGTTTTCTGACCCAAATATATTCCCATTACTAATCTGTCAGATGTTACCTGGGAATAGTTCCTCCCATTTTTAACTGCATATAAGTTTCCTTTGCTATGCAGAACTTTTTGAGTGTCCTGACATCCAATTTACCAAGTTTTGGTTTCACTTCCTGTGTTACCAGAATCTTATTCACACAATCCTGACATATACTGATTTGTTGAAATGTTCTGCCTATGTTTGTTCTATAAGTTTCAGGGTGTTGGGGCACAAATTAAGGTCTTTGATCATTTATAGTTAATTTTTTAAAGGTGTAATCTAGGCATCTAGTTTGATTCTTCCGTACAGTGCTAAGTAGTTTTCCAGGACCACTCGTTTAACAGCCTGTCTTTTATACAAAGTACATTTGGGGTTCTTTGTCAAAGTCAAGGTAGGTATGGTTGTATAAACTTTTATCTAGGTTTCGAGTCTATTCTATTGATCTGCACATCTTTTTGTGCCAATACCGTGCTGTTTTTACTACTAGATCTCTAGTACTGGTTAGAAAGAAGGTGTGATGAAGTTTTCTACAAAATCATTTTTGTTCAGAATTACCTTGGAAATCTTATATCTTTAGTGGTTCCACATGAATTTCAGCATTTTTCCACTCTATTTGTGAAGAATGTCCATGCCATATTAATCAAGACTGCATTGAGTGTGTAGTGTGCTTTTAATAGAGTAGATATTTTCACACAATTGATTCTTCTAAACAAAGAATATGGGGGGGGAGGATGTCTTTTCATCTTCTAAAGCCTTCTTCAATTTCTTCCATTTACATGTATATATAATTTGTATATACATATAAATATATATCTCAAATTTTTCCTTATAGATTTCTTTCATTTCTATGGTTAGGTTTCTATCCCACAAGTTTGTATTTTTATTTATTCACTTGTTGGCCAGTAATTCTTTCATATTTTCAATCTCACATGGGCAATTGGAAACATAATTGTTAAATGTTCTTTAGTGAAATAACAGTGCAGTCTTAGTTCAGCATCCACAATGCCAAAACCAATTCCCATTATCAGTACCTCTGGGGATGCCCAGCCCTTGATAGCAGTCTAACAGTCATGCTTCCTGCTCCTGAACTGCTAGAAACAGGCTCCTCATGTGGTCAGAGAACAGCCTTTGCTCAGCTTTCCCTGAGTGAGGCACAAGAGAACTGACCTGCCCCAGCATCAGCCAGTGTTCAAATCTCACTCCAGCATTTCCTCTTTGGATGATCTTGGGAAATGACTTAATTCATTTGAGTCTGACCTTCCTCGCCTATAAACCAAAGATCAGAAGGAGTACCTTGTAAGATGTTTGGAAAGTTTAAACACTGTTCATACACATGCCACAGTGTGATTCTTAGCTGATGGGAGCAATGTTGCTATTTTTCTTTATTAAGCCAACAACTTCCTCATGATTTTGTTAATTCTCTTCTTTGAGATTAATTGAGATCTATTCTCTTCCATCGAGGAAAAGTATTAAAATACTGGAAGATTAAAATCATGCCTCACTTGTATCCCCAATCTCACATTTGGGTTTTTAAATTCATTGTCACTCAAATCACTTTCTTCATTAGATGCTCCAGTTTATCTACAAGTCAGGATGCACCAAGATGGTCCAGATAGCATGGAGTGTAAGCAACATCATCCTTCTTTCATACAAATGTATTCAGAAATTCCAAAACTACAAACTGGGTCCTTGGGATGATTTCCCTAAACTGTTAGAGCACAGTGAACTTAGAATCTTCTCAAACACTTGGGATTATTCATGAGCTGAAATTTACTAACCCCCTTCACTGAGTGTGAAAATTCACTCGCTATTTCCTGGTGTGCAGTCTCACATCATCTTGAGTCTGCCATCAAATCAGGAACACATATTCATGGCATGTAAGTGTACAAGGTCAAACAAGGACAAAAAATGGTTTTCTACTCAGAAACAAATGTCGAATATTTTAAACCAGTAAGGGACTTCATACATTCTCCACAGAAAATATAATCTAGGATAAAATTGAGGCTGTGATCCTGTGGGAGAAATGTCTATTGCCATGCACATGTCTTCTCTCTCAATGATAGGTCTGGTTCCACGAGTCCTTGTGTAAGGAATTGTTCACCTTTCAGATTATGTCAGAATTTCTTTAATTGATTCTCAAAATCTCAGGCATGGTTGGGAGTTGCTCAAGCTGCACTGACTGTTGGTGACAGGCATCATTACAGATGATCATCTCTCCTTTCTTCCAGGAGACCTCAGGCCTGCACAGCCCATGATCCCTGCAGTCCACAAAGGTCAGTAACACTTATACAAGGCCAGAAACGCCAATAGTATTCCGCAGGTAGATTATCTGATCCTTGAGAGAAGATCAGTGAGAAAGGAGGGAGGCTCACTTTGCAAACCTTACCAGGACAGGTAGGCCATGTACCTGCCCCAGGGCAGAGTTTCTCTCATTCCTCTTGGCTTCCCTTGTTGAAAATAACCCCACCCTATGGCACAAATAATAAATACCCAGAGACTGATATTGGGGTTCAACCTGAAGATCAGAAAAGCAAAGTGGCCAGTTACTGGCTCTTACCTCTGCCCCAGACTGAAGTGGGTCTAGATCCTGAATCCACAAACTCCCAAACTCCACAACCCACACTTCACAGTACACTGAGGTCCTGTCTCTTACCCCTTATATTACTCTCTCTACTCAGCCATATCACTCCTGTCTCCACCTCCCTAGTGCTCGGTTTAAAATATGTTACCCCAAGGGCTGGGATCTCCTTAGTGTGAGCTCTATTACTCTTTTAGACAGATTTAATCTTCTGTAGCCCAGGCTGGCTTTGAACTACCAGAGACCCTTCTGCCTCTGTCTCTTAAGTCCTGGGATTAAAGGTGTGCCATCACTCCCTGGCCTGTATGGCTGACTAGTATGACTGTTTTGCTCTCTAATCTTCAGGCAAACTTTGTTTATTAAAACACAAATAATACATTACTATTCTACCCACTCCCAAACTGAACACTTACCATAAACCCTTCCTCCAAGTTAGGTAGAGTGTCAGACTAATAACTGGCCTCAGGAAGGGTACAGATTTTTTTCTCATGACTTCCCAGAGGAGGAAGGGAACCAGGGGTGCACAATGCAGATGAGATATGTTAAAAAATTAAAACAAAAACTGAGCAGACAGTGGAAAAAATCGTGGAGGACCCTTTCTATGCTCAGTGTCAGTCTTCACTCCTAGATGCTCCTGCCTTGCTACACTTTGTGGACCAGCATCGGGAGCAGCTGGTGGCCCGAGTGACATCAGTAGACCCTCTCTTGGACAAGCTGCATGGTCTGGTGCTGAGTGAAGAGGAGTATGAGGAGGTGCGGGCTGAAACCACCACCCAAAAGAAGATGCGGAAGCTCTTCAGCTCTAGCCGGTCCTGGACCAGGGCCTGCAAAGAGCAAGTCTACCGAGCTCTGAAGGAAACACATCCTCACTTGATCATGGAACTCCTTGAGCAGTCAGGAGGTGTCTCTGTGGGATCCTGACATCTTAGTGGCTGAGGGGTGAGAACTCTTCTTTGATTCCTGACTCTTCCTGATCATCCTTTGGCCTCCAGTTTCTCCATTTATAAACCAGTGGCCATCTGAGTTGCCCTTCAAATGGCAATGTTTCCAGGACACCTCTTGGGGATGCAGATGTCCCTCTTGGCTCTCCCCATTCTGTTCATATGGGATGTGCATCTCAGGAAACTTCCAGTGGAGCCAGTAAGTCTATTCAGCCTTATCCAGCTGGCATACGGCCGGAGTGTCCAGTCTCAAAACCACCTGACCAACCATGATACAAGCAGAACTGGGAGCATGGGGATGGAGACAATGAGATGGTGCTTTCCCTGGAAAATGAATTCTTATGAATAGGAAAGGAAGGGGGCTTCTTAAATATTTCCCACCCTCAGTTTTTGTTGTCTTTATTGATTCTATTTCTATTTTCACGTCTTGAACAACTTTATAATTTTCTTCCTCTGTTTCTTTGTATTTTTAAATTTTTTATAGTTTTTTTTATTGAGCTCTACATTTTTCTCTGCTCCCTTCCCTGCCTCTCCTCTCTCCCACCAGCCCTCCCCAAAGGTCCCCATACTCCCAATTTACTCAGGAGATCTTGTCTTTTTCTACTTTCTACTTCCCATGTAGATTAGATTTATGGAAGTCTATCTTAGTGTCCTCATTGTTGTCTAAGTTCTCTGGCATTGTGGTTTGTAGGCTCGCTTTCTTTGGTTTATGTTTAAAAACCACCTATGAGTGAGTACATGTGGTAATTGTCTTTCTGTGTCTGGGTTACCTCACTCAACGTTTTCTAGCTTCATCCATTTTCCTGCAAAATTAAAAATGTCGGTATTTTTTCTGCTGTGTAGTACTCCGTAGTGTAAATAGACCATGTTTTCCTTATCCATTCTTTGATCAAGAGGCATTAGGTTGCTTAAAGGTCCTAGTTATGACAAACAATGCTGCTATGAACATAGTTGAGCACATGTCCTTATGGGCACGATTGAGCATCCTTTGGATATATACCCAAAAGTGGTGTTACTGAGTCTGGAGGAAGGCTGCCAAGATCACAAACACTGATGACAACTTATGCTGGAGAGGTTGTGGGGGGAAGGGAACACTTCTGCATTGCTGCTGGGAATGCAAGCTGGTACAAACCCTTTGAATGACAGTGTGGCAATTTCTCAGAAAATTAGGAAACAGCCTTCCACAAGACCCAGTGTTTTTTAAATTTTTTTAAAGGGATTTGTTCATTTCCTCACATTGTTTGTGTTCTACTGGATTTCTTTAAGGGGTTTACTAATTTAATCTTTGAGGACCTCTGTCATCTCCATACAGGCTTTTGAGATCTTTTTTTCTTGTGCTTTAACTGTGTTGGAATATCCAGGGCTATCTGGGCTCTAGTGGAGACCTATTGAAATGGATGTTATTGATTGTGCTTTTATGCTGGCATCTAGGCATCTGGAATTGGAATGATTATAGGTCTAGGTGCTAATATCTGAATTTGTTTTCGTTTAGGTGGGTGTTTTGTACCTTGCTTACTGTTTATTCTGATTATAGGAGAGTGTGATGGGTGTTTGCTGCCTGGTAGGAAGTTTTATGCACCTAATATTTGTGGTCAGTGAGGTTTCCCAGAAAATTTTATTTCTTATCATTGACAGCTGGCTGTTAGGAATGGGGCTAGGCTAAGAGTCCGAAGGAATTCACAGGAGGGAGGAGATCAGAGTGTTCTACAAGGACCTGCTTCTTTAGTCTCTTATGAGACTAAATAATAGGAGGTGTTGGGTCCCTAGATGACAGGCCTTCGCACCCCGGCTTGATCTGTTTTGCACTCTTGTGGTTGGTTGAAAACAGGAACCAAAACGGGAAAGAAACTGTTGTTTTCAGTAATGTTTCTAAGGATGTTTACCCCTAAGCCATGTGAGTTACAGTGATGAGCTTTCCCACTTTTGCTGGCTTGTCCTCCCCTGCTGAGGGCTTTATATACTGTGTGAAAAAGTGGAATAAAGGCTTGTCTACAGAACCTGAAGTTGTGCTGTGTGTTAATCCCAACGTCCCTCGCTCAGATGAACTACAGTTGCTGTGCTGGTGCGGCAGGAGGGACAGTGAACAGAGGTCACTCACAAGGTTGGCTATAGCACTGGGGGTAAGACTGGATTGGATCTAGAAGAACAGAAGAAAAAAGGAAAATCTATACACAATCTACCTGTTTCCCCGGCAGGAGTAGCTTGTGGGTTATTGGGGGTGTCTGCTGGAATAGGGGGCTGGGACAAAGCACAAGTTGGGTAGGGAGGCAGAGAGACGAAGGTCTGTGGGATCCACAGAAGATGTTGGCAGAGGAGGAAGGAAGGCTGAAAAACAGGTGCTCTGTTGCAGATATAGTGATGAGACTGGGGTATTGGGTTTGGGGGAGAGGAAGGAGTGGTGAAGGTCCTCAGTTAGTTTACCTGTTTCCCTGACTGCTCAGATGGCAGCTGGTGTGATCACAGGAATGAAAGTCAGCTGGTTTGGAGGCTGAGAGACTGGGATGAGTTGGGGGAAGGAAGGTTGGAGCAGAGGATCTTTGAGATTTGAAGGAAGTGGCATCAGAGGTGAAAGGAGACCACAGCAGGTGTTCTGTTACCAAGTTGAGGATGAGGTTGGGGTACTAGTAGCTGAGAAAAAGGAGAGGAGACTGCAGTCAGCCTAGCACAAAGGGATATGCCTTCTTCTCTATGCTTCATGGAATTTTTCCAAAATTGATAATATACTCAAAACACAAAGCAAGTCTCAACAGATACAAGAAAATTGAAATAACATCTTGCATCTTATCCGATCATCATGAATTACAGCTGGATCAACAACAACAGATAGCATACAAACTCAGGGAAACTGAACAACTATCTTCTCAATTAAAAAAAAAAAAAAAAAAAAAAAAAAAAAAAAAATAAAGTATTCCTTGAATTCAATGAAAATAAAGAAACAACCTACTCAAACTTATGGGACACTAAGAGGCCAGTTCATAGTGCTAGTGAATACATTAAAAAAAAAAAAACTACAGAGATCTAATTCTAGCAACTTAACAACACACCTGAAAGCTCTAGAACAAGAACAAAAGAATTCATCACATGCAAGAGGAGTAGATTGCAAGAAATAATCAAACTCAGGGTTGAAATCAATAAAATAGAAACAAAGAGAAAAATTTTTAAAAATCACTAAAATGTAGACAGATTTTTCTTTGGGCTGCAAGTTCACAAAAAAATGACACAGTAGTTTATTATTAATTATGAAAGCTTTGCCCTAGCTTAGGCTGGTCGTACTAGTTCTCATAATTTAAATTAACCCATATTCTTAAATGTACATTCTTTTAGGGAGCTTGTTTACCTTTGCTCTGTATTGCCTGTCCTGCTTCCTCGACATCTGGCTGGTGACTCTGCCTTTCCTCTTCCCAGAGCTCTCTGCCCCCAGAAGTCCTCCTGCCTTACCTCTGCCTGTCTAGCTAATGACCATTCAGCTTTCCTTTTGTAAACCAATCCCAGTGACACGTCTTCATACAGTGAAAAGGAATATTCCACAACAATGGAACAAAGAGCTGTTTCTTTGGTTAAATCAACAAGATTGACAAACCCTGATCCAAATTTACTAACGGGAGAGAGAAAGAATATTCAAATTAATGATATCAGAAACAAAAGGGGGGGACATAACAACAGACAGCAAGGAAATCTAGAGAATCATAAGGACATGCTTTAAAACCCAGTACTTCACCAAATTGAAAAATCTAAAAGAAATGCATAATTTTCTCAATATATACCACTTACCAAAGTTAAATCAAGATCAGATAAGCCATTTAAACAGATATGTAACCCCTAGTAAAATAAAGGTAGTCATTAAAAACCATCCAAACGAAAAAAAGACCGGGACCAGGTGGTTTTAGTGTAGAATTCTACCAAACTTGCAACAAAGACTTTAATACCAATTCTCCTCAAACTATTCCACAAAATAGAAACAGAAGAAACTTTGCCAAACTGTCCTTCAGCCAATGACCTTTAAGAGGCTAGACGAGGTTGCTTCTCAGGACAACCCTACCCCCCGTGGGACTCCCAGTTTGCCAGCACATAAACCCCTGCCGTGCTCCCAGTTCGCCAGCCTGGCGCAATACCGAACAGCTGGTGGCTTATGACCCACACACCACTGCCTCTCCAGTCAGTAATGCCTAAAGCGTGCACAGGTCTCAATTCATGACTGATTGAAAGCTTTCGGTTTTCTTTTTATGCTGGTCAACAACTCTCAGAATCACTTTGATTGTCCTTAACAACTGCTCTTAACTTGTTAAACGAAGTATGTCTATCAGTATCTAAGTAGGCGATGATGAGGAACCAGAGTGAGGGATCCAGGAGAAGCCAGCAGGAGCATCTCTGCTGCATTTCTCTGCCATGCATCTGCAACTGTGATACCTGCTGGCCAATAAAGATTATTACACATACTCCAATTCACTACAATTGCCTTACGACAGGTAAGATCTGAAAAATTATAAGATGATGGGTAATATTATCATTCATAAATTTAATAATGATTTTGCTTATGCTATAGAGGGTATTCTGCAAGGCTTATGTGATTTTTCTTATACATCTATCTATTTGATTTTGGGAATTAGTTTTGTTTTAATATTATCTCATTAAGAAATTGGTTTGATAACAGAGCCAAGAATGAGGCACTTTTAGAAATGATACAGTCTTTACAGACTAATAATAAACTGCTAGTTGAAAAATTAATACTGTGTAGAGGGATAGCATTAATTTGGCAGACAAAATCTAGTCGATGTCAAAGAGTGCTGAGACATTATCTGAAAGAGGTCATGCTGCTTAATTTAAAAATCAAAATCTGTTAAAAAGTTATGATAGATTAACAGATAAGGTATCTCTCCAGGAATGTAATATGCACACCATCAAAATTATGTACAAGGATGAGACACTACTTTTACTGCACAAATTTCACACCTTGGAATCCTCAATGAAGGAATTAGAATGGAACACTGAACAAGAGATTCAGACTTTATTAAAGGCGGTGGTAAAAAAAGATTTGAAAAGATTGAGGAGTTTTAACTGCCTATCCGGTAATTTCCTCTGAGAAACCATCTGGCACATAGTGCCTTAACGTAGAAAAAGAATATACATGGCAACCTATTGTTGCAATGAGGGTGCTAGTTTATTCCCGATCACTTAGCCCCAAAATAACACAGAAACTGTATTAATTAAATCACGGTTTGACCCATTAGCTCTAACTTCTTATTGGCTAATTCTTGCATCTTAATTTAACCCATTTCTATTAATCTGTGTGTCACTACATGGCAGTAGCTTACCGGCAAAAGTTTTGGCATGTCTGACTCTGGCTGTGACTCCTTTGTGTCTCTCCAACTTCACCCTTCTCCTCTCATGCTATAGACCAAGCAAGTTCTTTATTCATTAACCAATAAAAACAACATTTAGACAGAAGGACTTCCCACACCATTTCCCCTTTCATGTTCAAATAAAAAGGAAGGCTTTAATTTTAACATAGTAAAATTACATATAACAAGTTATCAATCAAGAATTACAGTTACAATATTTATATCTACTTTATCTTTTATCATAACTAAGGAAAACTATAACTATAAATTCTTCAACTCCATCAAAAACTCCAGAAGAATATAATATTACTTATGTAAACAGGAAATGCATTGCAAGCAACTTCCAGAGTTCTATAATTGACAGAGACATCTCACTATCTGGACAGTCACCCAAAATTCTTCTGTACTCTTGGGGCATCCAATCTTCAGCCCACAGGCCCAGGGTATCTAGAAGATTTTTTTCATGCATCAGGAAACTTCAAAGACAGTTCCACCTATACTGGCAGCTTGTCCATCACATTTTTTGTGTGTCCTGTAGAATGTCTAGCAGACTCTTTCATGAGTCAGGAACCCCTAAGAATCATCTCACCTTTAGGCAAGTTTAGCAGTCATCTTTCTGCGGGTTAAGCAGCCCAGGCGAGAGCAGTTTCTTGTCCAAAATGGCTAGCAAACTTCATAAGGAGCCTCTTCGATACCTATCATCCTCTTGAAGTAGCTGGTGCTGCCAGGAGCAGATGTGTCTCACTGTCATAAAAAGTCTTAAGTTTTTAAACATTTTAAATGCCATATTCTGAAGGTCTCTGAAAGATTTGAAAAATACCTGTTGACACAGGTTTCTGTCCTGCCCAGTTTTTGCAGTCGTTAAATCCCAAAGAAATCACATAGAGGTCTACATTAACTATAAACTGATTGGCCCATTAGCTCAGGCTTCTTATTAACTCTTATAACTTATATTAGCCCATTGTTTTTGTCTATGTTAGTCACGTGGCTCAGTATCTTTTTCAGGAAGGCAGTTACATCTTACTTCCTCTGAGGCTGGGTAAAGAACTGCAGACCAAGCTTTCTTCTTCCCAGAATTCTCCTGTTCTCAATGACCCACCTCTACTTCCTGTCTGGTTGTCCTGCCTATACTTCCTACCTGGTTATTGGCCAATCAGTGTTTATTTAAAATATAATTGATAGGATACAGACCATTGTCCCACAGCAAATACTTATCTAACTGAAATATATCTCTATACATTTAGAAAATCTAACTAACATGACAGGCTTGACTATTATAGATGAGTACCTATTAACTTATATTTCTTAATTATACACTACATTTTTAAATGAGATACACAAATACAGTACTTTAATCAAAATCAAAAATATACATATAACAAAATTGACCTTAAATTTATATCAATAAACCAAGATCCATACCAATGTAAATTGTTCATCTCTATAGCATATCCCCCTTTAAATGTAAACAATTATAAACAACATTTGGGAATATGGGCATAGTTCTGTCCATACAGCTTCCTGCTGTTTGGGGGCACTGTTAATCAGGTCTTTCATAGTGTATCCTGTGTGGTAAGTTCATCTCAGTCAGCATTAGGGAGAAATAATTTTTGAGGGTGTTCACGATG